CCCCCCGTTCTACCCCCCTAAGCTGGCTTGTCCAATCACATCGCATTTGAGTTACAGACGTGACGTTTGTTACGGATTAGCTCTGTTAATTTATGATTCAAAGTGTTGATTCCATGGTTTTCTGTCGCTTTGAAAATGAATTTATAGGCAGTGAGGGAAGTGCGAGATACCATCAGCCTTAGTCGTGTTTGCTACGCTTCATAATCCAGTTGCTTAGTCATTCTCTCTCCCAAGAAAATGGCATCATCTACGTGCAAGATCCATTCCTCAAAATGTGAGACAAAATGGCTGCTTCTTACTGTATTAAGTCAGTTATTTTTTTAGCTGTTTCTTGTCTTGGCTTCAAGCCTGTTGGGAAATATCTTTAAACTTATTTCTGAAGGTGTGATAAAATGTGCCACTTAACAGTCTGTGTATCAGCATGATTGACGGTATTACTGTCTGGCTCCAGCTCTGACTATCTTTACTGCTTTGGCTACATGTCTTTACTGCCCTGGACACGTGCCTGACGCTGTCTGTCTCTGCGGCAGGTGCGATGTCAGGAGTCACACAGCACCTCCTCATCCCGGCCCACCGCAGACTCTTCCTCCCGCCACAGCGGGGCGCAGGACAGCGGCTTTGGCAGCGACAGCGCTCACATCCGCATCGTGCAGATCGAGCAGCAGAGCGGCGCCAGCCACCACCGCATCGCCCGGCCTTCTCGCAAGTCCACCATAATAAAGAACCTCAGCTTCGTCCCCTTTGATGTCTTCCTCACCGCCAGCCGCGTCTCCCTCATGACCTATGCCTCCGTCAGCGTCCCCGATCACGCCGTTACCGCCACCTCCCCCGAAAAGAAGGCTGTCGACCGGGCAGGGAAGAGCGCTCTGAACATGCCGGACGACGAACGAGACCCGACCGCCCATGGGATCTCCACACTGACGGCCGAGGACCTCCTGAACAGCAACACCCTCTCAGGCACGGCCGGCGGGCTCCTGTCCTTGGAGAGCCTGCAGGCTCCTAGCCGTTCGTCGGCCCGGCAGGCTCTGGGCGTGACCATGGTGCGGCAGCCGGGCCGCAGGGGTTCCGGAGACCTGCTCCTGGAGCCGCTCCTCTACCTCCAGGTGTTCCAGCCTTCAGCTCTGCTCAGCTGCCATCACCGCAAGCAGAAGCTGGAGCTGTCCGTCTTTGATGTGGTGCTCAAGGGCGTTGCCGCTGACTACAAGTGCCTGGGTGAGTGTGGAGGTTGGCAGCTTGATTTCCAACCCCAGTCCCCGGGAGCTGCTTCTTCACCATCTTCTGCCTCTCTATAGACATGGGGAAGACTCTCCCCGAAGCCCTGGACTACAGCGTCTTCTGGCTGCAGACCGTGGCAGGCGAGGCCGACGGCAAGACGGGCATCCCCCCTCCCCTGCTGTCCCTTCAGATCAGGGACTTCCTCAGCGGGCAAGGTGAGGGGCCCCTTTGGGAATGCTGTGCGTATCCGAGCTGAGCACTGAATCCTGACGGATCAGCTCCCCTCTGAATGTAACTTTTCTGTTTAGATCTAGTCTGTCAGCACCCAAGCAGTGTTTTCTATGCGTGTGAGTGTATTTGTAATTGTGTTTTGTTATAGACTTCATTCCTGATTCTGTGTGTGTGCAGGTTTGTTTCTGTGCGTGTCTGTATGAGTGTGCACGGCTGCATGAGTGTGCACGGCTGCGCTCCCCTCCAGCGCCGCCCCAGTTGTTGCCGTGCTGCGGATGTTGTGTTCTCTGGCCCCAGGGCTGCAGACACACAAAGCCCCCCCTGTATCCGCGAAGCTTCCTTTTCCCCCCACAATGCCCTGTTCTGTTTCTCGACACCGGGCCTGAAGACCTTACATGCAGATGTTAGTGCCACGTAAGGGTGAAGGAAACCTGGCGTGTCATGCTGGACTGGGCCTTCTGAGCCGAGGGGAACATTCAGGGTGGCCCACACGTGTTCCTGCACCCCTCCAAACCCCCCCCCAATCCCTGAAGATGCCGTTCTCAACCCATGACTCTTCGTTTCATGGCTTCTGGAGGAACACAGAGGTCTGTCGGGCTGCATCTCCACCTGCCTGAATGGGGAAGAGGCTGTTTTTATGTGAATCTCTGAGCCAGGAGAAGCGTGTGTCCCAGCAGCCCTGGCACATGCCGGTTTGTTTCCACAACGCGGCTCGCACCCCGGCCAAGACGCGGAGCGCCGCGCATGTTCGCAATTTAAAAAGCAATGGGGAACAAAACTTAACAGAAAACATAATAATAAACAAACGATCCGCTTCTGCTGCGTCGCCGGTGTTCAGAGTAACACGGCACCCTTTCGATTTGACGGTGTTTCTGTTTGATCTCTGCCGGCGGAGCGCAAACCCAGAACAGACTCCTGCAAGGCCGCATTGTGTCCGCAGTGTTTACAGAAATGTGCTCGCAATTTCAGCTGCGCTTCTTTGCAATTTGATCCAAGGCCAATCAAAAGCTTCACCCTTGAGGGTAGGAGATCGGCCTACATCTGTACGGTCAGCTGTGTTGGGGAACGTGGCCGTTCGGTCCTGACAGCTGGCCAGTTTGCTTCCTCTCCCTAACCTCTGACCGCTTTTAGGCCCTTAGAGCAGTGTTTCCCAATCCACTCCATGGGGACCCACAGACAGTCCTCATATTTTGCTCCATCCCAGCTCCCAGTAGGGAGCAAAAATGTGGACTGTCTGGTAGGGTGCTTGGAGGGAACAAAAACATGGACCATGGGTCCCCGAGGACTAGAATGAGTCTTAGAAGATAGATCAGGATCTGCTTCCAGAACCTCACCTTCTTATTTTCTTCTTAAGGACATGTCAGGGATGGAGAAGTAACAGCCACCTCTGGTGGTGGTGGTGGGGGGGGCTGGGGATGGAGGCCTTCATAAGCAAGAAGTTGAGCAGGTGATAGATTAGGTAGAACAAATTGGAACCATTAAGTCGAAGTGGTCCTGGATCCCATCACGCCATTGGGGGAGAGACGTCTTGTCAGCGCCGCATGGAAACCCTCGGCCCTCTCAAGTGTCCATACCCCTAATTTACCTCGTATGACTCATCACTGGTTTTGCTCCATGTGTGAATCTATAATACATTCTCAAGCCGGTGTCGGTCCCAGAGGTGGCTGTCAGGCCCTCTCCTTTCTAGGCGTACCCCTCCCAGCTGGACACGTGGCGCTCGGATCCCGGTGCATGGCGGGGGGAATTATGGGGGCCGAATGAGAGCAGTGGCACTCCTGATGCACACACACCCCTCGGGCGAATCTGTAGCCCCTGAGACGGACTGGCTAATAGAGGTCGACACCTGAGACGGGGAGACGGCCAGGCTGCACGCTTTTTAAATTAGCGATGCCTTTAAGCCGCGTGAAAGCCGTCCCAGCTCTGGCTGTTCTGCTGGTTATTGCCCGTTTCTTTTTGGCATGGCTTTGGCAGATGGACGAAAATCGTAATTCGGTGGCAGTAAAGTGTTTGTGAAAAAGCGAATGTAAACGGTTCCCCCGCTGCTGTTTACTGCCTTATGCTGGTGCCTGAAATCTCACAGGCTTCGTTTGATTAATAGCTTTTTTCCCCCCATGTTAACCTTTAGTTCTGCCAACGTAAAAGCACAAAGTTAACGTCAGTGAAGTGCCCAAGCATTTCGAGATTCTCTAACAAGTTTGGCCAAAATGGGCAGCCTAACAAACATCCTCATGTCAGGATGTCACATTCGCTCGTTTTCCCTTGGGAAGTATATGGTGAGATGTCAGCGCTTCGTTTGCTGTCGAGCTCCTGACAAACCAGCCCTTTTTGTCTTAGAGCTTTGATTCCATCCTCCAGCAAAGTCGGCTGAGAGGGGAGCCAGCAGCAGAGCACACGCATATCCTGCGTGCTTCATTACCACTTTTTCCGCACATCACCTCACAGGATCTTGACGTGGTTCCACTGTCGTAAAAAGGTGCTTCGCTCCATCTGCGTTGGAGGCGGTCAGGTGGTGCCTGGAAGCTCGTCAAGGTGCCGGGGAGTTCCCCCCACGCTCTCCAGGAGACGGGCGCGCTTCTCACTGTGCCGTATCCAAGGGGATTAAAACAAGGTGATGGTAGAGATTGAGTAAAACACATCCGCCATATTTTTTGAAGTCGAGAGCTCTGGCCTATTATGAGAGTGCCCGTTCGCTATGGCTTTTCAGTTCCTGCAAAAAGAACTACTCCACCACTTTTAGTAGATAGCATCTGCCCCACGAATCTGGTTGAAATACTGCCCTCCTACCGTGAGCACCAGATGGATGCTGAAACAATCCAGAGCACCAGTCTCTTCAAAAGGCACCAGCGAAAAGTCCAGAACAGACCCAGGAGCCGCAGGGCCCGGCAGGAGCCCAAAAGGGGCAGCAGCGCATCTGCGGCTCTCGTGCCGTACTTGTCGGGGTCCTGCTATCTGGGACGTATCGTCAGTGTCCCTGAAGCCGCGTAAAGAATGCAGGTGGCCAGATGACAGGTTAAAAAGGTAATAAAATTCTCTCGCGCCCCCCCCCCCCCCAACCCCCTGCCATCCCTGCTGGAGCTGGGTGCTCGTAAACGGAACCAGGGCTCGTCTCCAGCCCGCTCCTCCCATACGGTAGATAATTTGCACATGAGTGGTTCGATTCTGCAGCTGGAAAGCTTCCCGCTGATAAACCCCCCCCCACACGCACACAAAGAGAGGAATAAATAAAAGTTCTTGGTAAGCGAAGAAGAGTTTCTTCTGGCATTTGGAATCCCTTGGCTGCCTCCTGTGCTTGTATCTCTCCTCTCCAGTACCTGATGGGGGGGGGGGGTATGCGTGTAGCGCAGCACGCGCCCAGAGCAGGCAGCCCCTGCGGCCACGCTGGCGAGATTTATGGGGGAAAATGTGAAGCGTCCGCTCTGTGTATCTCTGAGCCGGCGGAGGAGCGCTGAGACACTGAGCTGTGGCGATTGGTTTGTTGCTACTGCGGCTGTTTCCCTGTGAGAAGCCGTGCAAGGAGCTGGAGTCCGTTTCTGCTTATTCCTGCTGATCCGCTCATCTGTTTTCACCAACGGGTTTCTGTACGGCCTCCGTCAGACAGTCGGGAAATGCATCCCAGGTGACAGATGTGTCCGACCATATATGAACAGTGGCATGTTCTAGAATATCTCTAGACTGCAGAGACAAACAGTGTACTGTTTGGTGTTCTTACGTTTCACGCATTTACCAGTCCATAAATAACAGTGATAGTGAGCCAGTGGGCCGCTTCCAGGAGAGGGTGTTCCTCCAGGAACCAGGTGAGAGGAAGTCCATCCCTCTTGGGGCGTCAGTCTGATAAATGTATAGAAAACCCTTTAGGTTCAGAATGTGGAGCTCCGTTCCTGGTGCCTTGGCTTCCCCACATCGCCTCCCCTCTTATTCCTCTCTGTGACGCCTGATGGGATCGTCTCCCATGTTCAGTCTGTCTCTGTCGGTCACCTCAGTTCGCCGCCTTTTTAGTCGCTGTGTTGCCCTCGTTAAGAGGTTCGTAATTGTTAATGGCTCGTCATTGTCATCCACAGCGGAGCTCAGCATCGAGCTGTCGCGCCCATTGAAGGTCATTCCGACGCTGACCAGGCTGGAACAGGCTAAGGCCTTCCTGAAGAAGATCCTTCCGGAAGGCAGCGGCGAGTCCAGAAAAGCCCCCAGTCCTCCACAGCCGTCCCCCGCCAAGCCCACCGCGAGCAGGACATCGACGGCCACGGAGGGCACCCTGCCCAAATCGCAGCACTCCACAGGGAGGGCAGGAGCCCTGGCAGCCCTCGCTCCCTTCCATCGGGCTTTGGTCCGTACGGCACAGATCGTGGTCGTGCTGGAGGCGGAAATCGCCCCGACTCAGCCAAGCCTGACACTGTCGGTTTCCGGGTTGACCGGCAGCCTGACCTTGAGGAACGGGCCCAAACCTGCAGGTGAGTGGATCCCATCCTTGTGCTGATGAGCTTCTCAGATCCTGCCAGCACAGCTGTTCCCCGCTGCAGGCGGTTCTAGCCAGCGCAACATAAGGTCAGCTTGGCTCGTACGCTACGCATCACGCAGCGAGCGTTATTTAAATCTCGAGTACGCACTGACTGCTGATGCTCTTACCTACAAGACACCCCCGGCCTACAATATGACCTGAAAAGTCAGAGTTTGTTTTATGTACAAGGGCAGGAAAGCCAAGCTTCTGTCATCCGACCTTTCATACCTCGCTCGGAGGGAAATGTCTCAACGGTAAACCAGAACAAAGTGTTCCTGACGAAGCACAGGAAACGGCCCGTGTTACCTCACTGTCATGAGTTCTGGCCCGTGACCACGACGTAGCTAAGGAGGAATGACCCGTCCTCGCGGAAACTGGATGCAGTGTCCCCCAGCGTGCTGGCCAGGAAGGAAAGGGAACAGACCCCTCCATTAATAAAGAAAAAGCCGCTCTGATTAGATCCCCCCCTCCATCTGTCTGAGGGGTAGATTCCTGAATCCAGGGATTAAGTTTGTGTGTTTATTGATGAGGGAGCTGTGGTCGTTCAGTTCCAACAAATTTGTAAGGGATTCCTATTGATTGTTGAAAAGGGCAGCTGCAGGTGATGCAGGTGATGCAGTACACACACACACATACACAGACGCATACACACACACACACACACACACATACACAGACACATACACACACACACACACACACACACATACACACATATACCGCTGTGCACCAGGAGTGGGGAGAGTCTATCTTAGTGAGCGGCGGGGGCCACAGGTGACTGGGGGCCACAAACGGCCGGGCACGGTATGTGAGGGCCCCAAGAGGGGCTGCATGCTGAGGGCTTTGGTTTGATTCGTCCACACCATGGTGAGTAAGGGGGGGGAGGTGGAGATGGAGTCAGGCTGGGCTCTTTGTGCATCTGTTCCGCAGATGTCATTATATAGGGTTACTTCGGATAAAATGATTGGTGAAAAATTTTAATTAAAACCTCAACAATTTGCACTTGTTTACCCGGATCTGCATAACTGCCCTATGAGGAAATGCTATTCATCGCGGACCGTGCCGATTCTCGCCAGCTCTGCTCCTTTCATCCCATCTGATGTGTTGACTTTGATAAACACGGATCAGGGTTCTCAGCATCGGTGACGGTGGAAAAACTGCGAAGGGGCAGTGATTGTGTGTTCATATGGAAATGAATCCCGTACTTGAAGTGACTATTTTTAGCTATAGTCTTCTCAGATTATGGCTGTCGTGGGGAGATTTATCGCTAAGAGTTCTTCCTTTGTTTACTAAAAACAGAGCTTGCTGAGGCTCCGCTGGTGCAGCTCAGTGCTTAATGGGGCTGCAGTGAGCCAGTCCTTCCTCGCTCGAGTCACTAGGGCGACCCAGCGGCACTGAGACGCGGGTTCATTGGGGGCCGAGCCAGCACGAAGCGACAGCTCCCCCCCAGAGAGGATTAAAAAATTATTTAAGTTCCAGAAAACAAATGGTGTCATCATGAGCAGCAGGGTTAGGGTTATGAGCTCATTCGGCTGGGGGAAGGGCTAAGTGTATTTGCGTATGTGTTTTTATTTATGTTTCAAATTGTGTGTAATTGCGATGGATGCTGCGTCCCTTGGGTTACAGTTAAGCAGTTTTGTACCAAACTGTAATGTCAGAACTCGCTTGTAAACGCATCATGTAAGTTCTCCATGTTTATCAAAGCTGTGTGATCTTTCACTAGAAACGTTTTCAGAGTTGGCATACATGTGAAAGCCTGCTGCAAGCTTCAATTCGTGCAGAACCTCTAAAAAAATGAAAAGCGGAATTTCTCCTGGTCATGAAGTATGCAGTGGGCCTGCAGTGTCTGTATTGTTCGTATTGTTTCATGCAGGAAAACAAGTTTCCCCACTGCGCTTTCAGCACAGAAATACATTTGCCCTAGGGAGGGTTATAACTGAACAGGTGAGGCGAAGAGGATGCCACTGCCGTTCACCCCAGGGGCCGTGGGAAGTAGAGATCGCACAGGGGAGGAAATTCGGGGGTAGATGGTGGGGGTTGGTGCCGGTTCACAATCGCGTTTCCTCTTACACCCTGTCAGGACTGGTGTGAAGCCAGCTCGGGGAGAGGTGAGGACCCCGTCACTCGGCCAACATCTGGGGGGTTTATACATCGCCATGGCGATACCTCTGCCAGTGAAGAGGTGGAGTAAAAGGGGATTAGGCTGACAGTGAAGTGTGTTACTGTATCTTGTGATAATGAAAAGCAGTAGAACCCCAGGAATTCCACCCGCCGGTCCCAAAGGTGGAGGTGCATTTGCAGTTCAGCGAGAGCCAAACACACGTAGGTGGGGAGAACAGATGGTCCTGGGTTAATGAAACAGGAGACCTCCCAAAGCTCCGTCGGCTGTCGGGGGGGCGAAGCCGACCCCTCCCCGGGCACATCACTGCTCTGCTCGTGACTTACTAGTGTGCGTCCATAAAGAAACAGACCCTGTGTTAATAGAACAAAGAAAATGCCGTCATTAATTACATATTCCTTTTTCGCTTGCACAAAGCACAGCGGTGGATTGAATTACTGTTGTTTCACCACAGTTGGGTCCAGCTAAGATTCACAATTAATGTTTTAATGCCAATGCAAGGAGGGGAGACAAATGCAGAAATGACTCCGGTAGTAAGCCCTGCTGGTCACGGGCGTGCAGTACAGGTCACGTGGGGGGGGGGGAGCATCACTGAGCACCTTCAGTTTGGGAGTGTCTTCTGAGTTCGGCAGGGCACTGGGGTGAAACCACATCGCCCTGCGTGTGGAGCCTGCGTGTCGCCCTGACGGCCTCACACCCCCGCCTCACCGTTTATGGTCTCTCCTGTATGTCTCCAGCGTCAGCTGCTGCCTGTCCTTCATCCTCCTCTTCTTCCTCAGCGAAGCGGTTTCCCCTCAGCCGTCTGGCTAAGCAGCAGCAGCACTGCCACAGGACCAGCAGCCATCGGAGATGATATCTGTCGCGGCCGACCTGCCCGGGCTCATACCGTCGGGATTCTTAATTGATTGCAGCTCGTTAAGGGGATATGAATTATTTATGAGGTGGTTCGCAGAGAGCCTGCCAGAGCAAAACCGAGGCTCTAAATCAAACTGAACTCCGTGATTAAGCAAAGATGTATTTCAAATTGCTTTGCTTTCCATTTGCTACTTTCTGTCCTTTTTTTTTTTTTTCCCTCCAGAAGCAGCGCATGATGTGTGTTTTGGATCAGATCAGTTTAGAGTTTACCCCCTGAACCGTAAACCTGCCTGCGGAGCGCGTGGTGGCGTATGGCTGGGCCGCAGCCAGCTGAGTGACCTCGCCAGCCCACGCGAAGTAACCCCCCCCCAAGTCAGCTCAGATGCCACTCTGCCGAATTAGGCGCGGTTGTCATGCTGGCCGCTTGTTAAAGATGGGGCTCGATTCCCCAGGATCCATTTCATGCTCTCAGACCCCCCATTAAAAGAGGCCCGAACCCAAAACACAGCTCCGCTGAAATGGCAGGTGTTCAGGATCTGAACGATGGCGGCTCTATATGACTTCGCCATATGGCGCCGTCTCCTAGGTACCGAGACTTCCGGCATTTTCCACGCCCTCTCTCAGTTATTACAGCTGGACGCACGATCCCGTTGCATTTCTCCACTTGCGGGACAGGACATTCCGACATTGTATTGCAATCAGAATATGCATCATCCTAAATTAAACATCGCCGCTGTTTGCAGGGTGACCTGTTTGGTGTTTGTCTGTAGCGACTGTGTCTACTCTGCACTGTGAGGCTCCGTTGCCAGTGTGTTGCCTTCAGTGTGATACTCTATCTGTTCTAGGGAGGTGTTTGCTGAGAGTATATTTGATGTGTGTGGTCGCACAACTAGGGGGATCTGATTGCGTCGGCATGGATGATGTAAAGCAGGAAAGTCAGCCTCAGTTCCTGCTGGGGCGTGTGCACGTCTTCTGGTTCTCATTGCAGCCTGTCCCCTGGCTTGCGTCGTCCAATTAGCAGTTAATTATCTGCGCTTTTTATGACTGTATTTTCCCCCGAAATACGGGAAAATTTAAATATGACATTTCCTGTGATGAAACTGCACAATAGTTGCAGCATTCAGAATTTGTATGTTTGTTACTTTGTAATAATCGTTTATAGAAAACCCGATGGAGCAACATTAGTAATTAAGGGACAGTCCACTTTCAGCTGAATTTCACCCCCCGCCCAGCGTAAGCTGCCCCAGGCCAGTGTGGAAGAGGACAGTTTGTGTTTTACATCTCAAAGCATTATCCCCATACCTCTTTACTCATCTCCTGCTTCGTGTCGAGGACCGGAGATCGTTAGCGGTATTCAAATTAGCATGATCGTTAGAAGACACTGGAGACAAAGGCCTTCGGGATCAAAGTGGCCAGTTGGCTCGTGTTCTGTTGTTTGCGGCGTGTCTAAAACTGTTCCATTCTTTCGCCTGGTTCGACACATGTCTTCGCTAAGGGTCGGTACAGTAGTTAAGGAAATGGACCTGGAACCAACAGTGAGCTTGTGAGCCACACTGTTTTAAAAGGTTAACTTGGGATGCTTGGCTGTTCCTGAAGGAATCTATGAAAAGTGTGACGTTAATTAAGTATTTTACCAGTAAAGTCTCACCTATAAATAAGTAAATATCATAGCATCTGCAAAGCAAATTAGTTGCTCCTTTTGAGAATATCACGTGACCTACTCTCCCCTGTCACATGACCTACTTGCCCCTCCTGTACTCCCAGTTTAGGCTTTAATCCAGTCACCAAATCCTGCATGGTTCTCCCAACCTGAACTCTGGGCGAACCTGACAAAGTGGGGAAAAAAGCATTTGGGATTTCTGCCCCAGATTGTGAAACTGGATTAAGTCCTCAAGAAGCTGATGGGTAGATTAGCCCTCCACAGCCACCTCTGAAGGAGCAATCCAAGTGCTGCATGCAGTGCATTTGCACAATGAATCCTCTGTCCTTAAGAAGTGTTCGCTGTTGACCAGGACCTCGTGGTCACGTCCGCTGCCCTGATCTGCCTCTGTCCTAATGGCAGGCAGCTTGTTCGTCTTTTCAAAATGAGAAGAACAGGCATTAATACAGTTAAGATTACCAGGAGAGTCCTCTGCCAGAAGATTCGATTACAGCCATGTGGCAGAAATATTCAGTGATTAGCAATCGAAATTCAGGAGGCCTCCCCCCCGCTGTCTGTTTGTCATCGGAGCCCTCGTTTGCGGAGAGAACCCGGGGGTGGTGGTGTTTACATATTCTTTCGACTTAAAGATTTGTTTATCATAAATACGAGCTTTGAGTCCCAAGTTAATAACCATCCCCCTCCCCATTCCAGCGTTCCCATTTTTACCACATGATAATTTGTTGGCATTCTGAAATCCGCATAAGCTTCCATGACAGGCTGTCTCTCTTTATATTCTGTTTCAGAACATAGAGTAGGAAGATTCTGGGGCATTATGGGAATTGTGGAGCCTCTTCAGGGAGGCTGTTACAGTCATGGTAGGAGTCCATCCTGCCATAAAGCACTCCCAGTTTCTGATGCGATTCCCTCCTGTCCTGAATCGTGCACTGCCTTGGTCAGCTGTTCAGCATCCAGTCCTGGCCGCGACGGGTCCCTTCTGAGTGCGGTGTCCCCCGTCTGGGGACCGCGTGTCTCCTCAAGTCCCCGCCCCCACCCACGCGGTTAGAATAACTCACTTTAAGCAAACTGCTGTCTGCGGAGACGCCGAGAGAGCCAGAGAATTATGGGTAACATGTGAGACTGCTGAGAGGGCGGTGGGCCAGGAGCGTGTCCCTCAAAAGGATGAGAAAGGGAGATGTCCAAGATAATTTATACTTTAAAAAATGAAAAATATTTTTCAGAAGGTGGAAAAAATAAAATCCCTCGGTGGTATTGCTGAGTTTCGGTGTTGAATAAGATGTTCCTGCACTGCAGATCAGCCCCCAGCAGCTGTGACAGATTCCCTGTGGAAACGGAGCCCAGTCCAGCATGAAAACAAGACAGCGTCCTCGGTTATTGTGAACGACGGGACCAAAACAAGCGTCTGATCCCAAGCACCAGGGATCATCTCCCTGAGTCAGATGCTGCCGCGGCCCGTCTCCTGCGGCGTCACTCGCGGAGCAGTGTGTCCGGGGCTCAGCCCTGACCGGAGGGGCGTCTCCGTGTCCCCGTCCCCGCAGGGCACGGCCGTCCTGGCTCCAGGTCCCGGTCCTGCGGTGTCCTGTTTGGACTCGGTGCTGTCCTTCTTTAGCCAGACCTCATTTATGAATGACCGTCTGACATCCAGCAGAGCAAAGAAAACGTGTCTTTGCTCAGAGGGTGGCGGGGGCTTGATAAACTTCCTGGTAATTTGCTGTTTCAATCTCACCCCCCCCCCCCTTTTCTGTGTGATTGGTGTTTGCATGTTCTTCAAGTGTTTTGCAGGTTCCAGAATACAAAGACATACGGTTAGGGGACGTGGCCCATAGTGTATGTGTGTGTGTGTGTGTGCGTGTGTGTGTGTGTGTGTGCGCGCTCTGTGATGGGCTGGCATGTAATCCAGGGTGTCCCCTCTGTCATTTTCTACCTTCTAGGATAGGTTGCCGGCTCATTACCACCTTGGGATGCATAGATGGATTTTTACCTATTTTCAAATGGCCCCATCCTGGGTTGTTCCCTGCCTTACCCCCGTAAATTCCGGGATAGGTTCCGGACCCCCCGCGACCCTGAACAGGATGAGCGGTTACAGAAAATGGATGTAATGTGTATCTTGTTGAGTCCCAGTGGGTTCCTCTGCTTCCGGAGGGCCGCTGCTTCGGTGTTGCCCTGCATGCTCCAGTCAGAGCTCGGGTCGGTCATGTGACTCAGGTCAATGGGGCATCTGCTGATGGTGACATCTCTGTGTCGCAGACCCTCTGCAGGCAGCCTCCTTCCTGCTGGAGCTGCAGGACGTGCTGCTGAAGACGGGCCTGAGAGATCGCTGCCGCCCCCTGCTGGGTCCCTTCTGCTGTAGCGCCGACCTGGAAGCTAAGTGGTGTCGCCATGGTGGAAGCCCCGGACCAGAAGCGGGACCTCCGAAACTGCTGCTCGACCTCAAGGGGGGGCTGCTTCAGGTCTGGGAAGACAGTCCGTGCCCACCTCACTTTCCGGGTTTTAACTGGGCTCCCAGATCCATGTCCAGCCGCACCGGTATTGCTGTTTCGGTGTTGCCTAATCTGCCGTGCCGCTTGGCTTTGGAAAAAGGCAGCTGTCTCGCCGTGTGCCCCAGTGATTAGCTTCCTGTTTACTGTCCGCAAAGTGGAATATTGCACACTTAAAAACCAGAGCGGAGCCTTTTAATGGGCTGCATGGATGCATTTATTGCCTGTCGTTAACGGGGAAATCTCTCGGTCTAACACTTAATACATAATCATACATTTCCTTTGGCAACCGCGGCAGGTCATAGCACTTTAATCAGTTCCTGCACATAAACCACTCAGAATTCTTCCACTCAAGCTCAGACCTGAAATCCCCACATTTTTCCAGGTTTTCTCATGTATTCACAGCTCACTTTGGGAAGGGTTCGTGTGAGAACCATGTTTGACTCAGAGATTCCGGACGGCTCAGCCAGCCTCCGGCGTGTGGAGGAGCTGGGGACGGCCGGCAGGGTATAAGCTGGCCTCTTCTGCCCCCAACAGGTTTTCTGGGGGCAGGAGCATCTGAACTGCCTGGTGCTGATGCAGAAGCACCTGCAGGCTTACCTCCAGAAGGGCGGCGGTGTGGAGCTGCCGGGGGCTGGGGAGCAGCCGGAGAGCCACCAGCCGCCCCCCTCCCCTCACATCCACAGCCCGAGGACGGAACACAGCACGGACGACCTGCGGACCGGCCTCTTCCAGTACATCCAGGACTCAGGTGCCCGGGGGGGGGTGGGGGCTGTATGCCACAGAGGCTTCCCAGGTACACAGTGACACTGCTGTTTATATGTGGTGTATGTGTAGTATATCCAAGTTTAGGAGTCTGATCACTTGTTGTTCTCGATTGATTACTGGCCTGTTTAGCCTGTTCCAGGTTAGTAGCGACCCCCACATGAGCGTGACAAACCATGTGACTCCTGCTCTCTGCTATCCGGGGGGGGGGAGGGCGGGGCAAGTGCAGTCATTCAAAATCAGGCCAGAGCCCCCTCATCCCTAAGAACATGGCTAACTCCTTTTTTTTTTTTTGTCTTTTCACATTGTCTCCTCTCCCCTTGGATGTCCATATGAAGGGGGCTGCTTTTCAGTAGGAAAAAACTCTAAGAAACATGTTGCGAACAGGGGCTGGCACTCTGGGAAGGAGGTACAGCACATGGCCCCCGGCTTTGGGTGGGGGGGTGGTGGATTCCTTCCCTCATTTTTTTTGCGGGAGTCGTAGAAATGAACACAGATGAAAACAATGCCGTCGCAGAGCGCCGTTCCTCCATGGCGGTACGATGGAAATCCACGTCGCTGTAAAAACAACATGTTGTGCACCTTCAAGCCGGGCCGCAGGACCGAGTCCAAAAACAAAAGCCAGAACCCAGCAGCTGGCTTGAAGCAAACAGGGACCGTTCTGGCGTTCCCCACCCCCTCCCAGGTCCAACTAGTGCAGCTTCACCGGGTTTAAATTTTTCAGATGAACATCAGGGAGTTCCAGAGCTCGTGAGTTAGATGTCACAGTCAGTCTGCCATATGTAAATGTGCCCAATGTGATATTGAAGATGAGTTTGGTTTGACAGTCCAGCGTTCTGCTGCTCTCAGCGTGTCGCTTTGCTCTCTGCTCGCGCAGCCTCCCGGAAGCTCCCCGGGACCCACGAGGTGATGTTCTACAACGAGACCGACGACAGCCCCGGCGTGATGCTGTGGCGATACCCAGAGCCCCGCGCGCTCACCTTTGTGCGAATCACGCCTGTGCCCTTCAACACCACGGAAGACCCCGACATCAGCACAGCCGACCTGGGGGACGTGCTTAAGGTTAGTGCCCAGAGAGCAGATGCAAGCTCACGCCATGGGGTGACGACTAAATGCTCTCGCGTCATGGCACGAGGGCCCAAACACGTCCTAGGACCCAGGCGCGTCCTCACACAGCCTCCCAGACGTTCCCCGTGATGTAAGAGGTGGTGTTATACAACGAGGCGGCCGACAGCTCCGGCGTGATATTGTGACAACAGCTAGAGCCCCACGTGCTCACCGAGGAACTCAAACGTGTCCTTGCCGCCGTGTGAGGGACCCAAACATGTTCTTGCCATTGTGGGAGTGACAGAAACACATCCCTGTTGTAGCATGAGGGGTCCAAACATGTTCTTGCAGCCGTGTGAGGAACTCAAACGTGTCCTTGCCGCCGTGTGAGGGACCCAAACATGTTCTTGCAGCCGTGTGAGGGACCCAAACATGTCCTTGCCTTAGTGTGAGAAACAGGAACACACCCTGGCTGTAGCATGAGGGCCGCAGACACACCCTCGCATTGCACTGCGGGGCAGAGTGATGTCATTCCTATGCCATTCTCTTCCAGACTCGATAATATTCTACTTTCATTCAGCCGCCTTTGCCGGCATCTGTCCCTATTTTACATCATACCAGCAGTTTCTCACGCGCACCCTGGCATCCGCACACATTACGTCCATCGTTACTCATAATTAAAATTCAAATGGAGCATTTCTTGCAGGCCTGGATGTGGTTCTCAGTGCTGTCCCGTGTTGGATGGGGGTCACGAGCGAGCTCCCCTCTCACCTCGCCACCTTTCCCCCTCTTACCACCTGGTTAGGCCTGCATCCTCAGGGGCTGAACCGAGGTGGCCTACATTGCCAGAAAGACTGAAGCAAGCGGTGCAGCTAAATGTAAATCTGCCGGCCTGTCCGTGGCTGGATGCCAGGCAGTGTCGCTGAGGGCAGGGCATCATCCAGCAGAGTCAATCCCCCATCTTCCCTTCTGTCTCAAAGGCAGCTGGCGAAATGTGTTTCTTAGATTAAATCGCCGGTTTCTTTCAAACAAGTACTGCAGCTGTGAAAGTAATTTAATCTTTCAATGCACTCGCACGACTTGTTAAAAAAAAAGAAAAAGTCGAACGAAATATAATTTGTTCATAATTTCGCATATGAACCTGGTCCGCAGTCCTTGCCTCCTGTCCTAGGTGACGTGATTCTTTGGCAGCTCTTAAGTTAGCCGTCACTCGACTGGGGAGTGGGGGGGGGGGATGAGTGGACCCCCACCCGGACATGGCCGCTGCCGGATCCTTCCCTCCCTCTTTCTCCTTTTCTCCCGTGTCCACACGGCCCTGGACCCGTGGCGAGGTTGTGAGGTGTTGAAGGTTTTGTCCATCTTGCCTCAGGGCTCCACAGCTGTGGAACGAGCCCCTGGTTCCCAGGCCAGGGGGGTGAGCAGTTCCAGACCTCCAGCTCCAGGAGGGTTTTGGACCTGCTTTTCCATCAGGGGGGTGGTGAAGATATGGTTTCTAAATTTGTCCTACTGACTCGTGTGAAAAAGTCAAATTTTTAAATAGGAACTTCAAATCATCTAAGCTGGAATTATACAGGAAGGACCGTAGGGGTGTTTGGCAAGTAAAGTCGCAAACTGCAGCACGTAATAGCAAATAATAAACAGAATTGCTTAATATGAAATATGTTAGTGTGTCGAGCTGCAGATGTAGGTAGTCATTTATACACTGTGGATGCTTTTTAGACTCTGGGCTCTCGGACCTCTTTGGCCTGAAACATCCAAAGAAACAGGCAGCGGAGTCGGACTGTAGGTGCGCGCCTCTGTGATCACGCTGCTGTCCCGCCCCACGATTCTGGAGAGAGCAAACTTCAAAATTAATTAATTCTAGTTTGATTTCTCTGGGGGTTAGGGTGACAGAGAGAGTACAGATACACCAGAATAGCTCCTCACGCTGCCCGAGAATTTCATTCCGTTTTGACAGGGGGGCAGGCAGATAGGGGACCGCAAGTGATTTCTCAGGGCTCTAGGGTTACGGCGTGGCCGCGTGTGGTCACGCGGGGGGAGCATGTGGCAGTGTCCCCCCCCGTTTCAGTTAGGAAGTTAGTGGACCTGGTACCTCACTGGGTCAGGCTGATGGGGGGGGGGCGCAGGTGGACATTACACAGTCGTTCCGGCGGATGGCGGCCCCCCTGCGCGGCCCGGACGTCCCCAGAGCAGATCACGTTAACATTTTATAAAATCAAGATTTCCTGCATTTAAATAGCTGTGGTTTTGCGACTGGTTCCAGTATCTCAAAGGGGAATTCAAAACGCTTCCATCAGTCAAAGGCATATTGTTAGAGCGGTGTTTTGCAGTACAGTAGGAGACAGGCGGGGGACGCTGCGCACCTGAGGGAGCGGAGGAGGTTGAGCGCACCGCCGTGTGGCCTAGTGAATCATGGGTAGCTGTCCTCTGGCAGCCGGTTCCTGGCAACCTCACAGCCTGGGAAACGGGCCGCAGAGAAGGCCGTCATGCTGAGCCCCACATCGCTCGCAGATGCGGGAAACTCCATTACAGCCCCCCTCGTCCAATAGCACCCGCCCCATCCCGCTCCCAGCCAGCTCTTCCCCCTGATGCCCAATGGTACGCTTATGACCTGTTGTGACCTGAAATAAACCGTAAAGTTCGTCACATTAATGAAAGAGCAACTGGTGGTTTAACTAAGGTGGGTTTGTGGTTCCGAATCGCATTCGTGGCGCCCCCTGTTTCTCATACTGGTAACTCTGCGTTTACCCCTCTGTCGCGCTCATTAAGAGGAATAAGGGAATTATTTTAGGATTTTCAGACACAACAATGAGTGCATTGTATACGGCATGGGAGCGTGATAGTGTGACGATGACAGGCCTGACCAGAACACAAGCAAACAGTTATCAGACACCTTATTGGTCAATGTTATCGTGGTGAAAATATTAGATGGTTATGAGAAACAAACATGTCTTCCTTTAACATTTTTCGTAGTTATGGAATGTGACGATCAGAGGGTTTAATTCAAGAAAATGCATTTAAAGTGTATGTCAGCTGACATCAGAGGTGGTTAGGAAAGCGTATGGGGCCGTGGCCTCCCCAGACACGTGGGACCCCACCCATGCAGGAGGCATGTGAAATATTCAAGGGCCTCCGAATGCTGTTTATACGACCCTTCAAGGGGGGAGACTGACGCTGTGCAGGTTGGACCCAGAGCACGAAGGGTTAAACCCACGTAAGTGTCGTTTCGGTTAGACGATGGAAATTTACACTCAGGAAATGTAAACAGTCAAAAATGAGCGAGCACGTTGAAGGTCGAGCAGAGCAAATTGCATCAGGGCGGATGTGTGTGTGTGTATGTATATATATATATACATATATATATTTTAAGTTTTCTTTTGTGTGGAAATGTGATTTTCATTTTACTGTGGGGGAACCAGCAGTTGGAATATCAGACAACGGTATGGGATTCCGTGTGGTGTTTGCACTGCATGCACGCCGCTCCCCTTCCAGATCTTTCCGCAGGTTGGCCTGGCAGTATTGCTTAGCAAAGGCGAATGCAGGGCTCAGTGCCTTCTTCTGGCGCGCAGGTGTGCTGAAATTTCCCCTTAGCGTTTGATCAGTGACACAGTTTACTAAATGTGGCAGGTGTAATTTGAGAGAAATTCAGCATGCCGAACATAAGTGATTTCCAAATAAAAACCATGCGGCCCATCCGGGGCCGCCCCCTCGCGTGAGGTGTAGAGATGGAGCCCCTCACGCCTACAGGCGGCCTTGGGTGTTGCAGACACTCTTCTCGTATACGATTGGCCGCCTCACGTACCGAGGGGCACTTGGATTGACTCAGGATTACTGGATCGGTGCTCATGAGTAAAGTTGAGGACTTTAAGTAAAGAGGTGACTTTAGGTCTTCCGGAGCAGCTCTTTGGATGCATCTGGAGATGCAGTTGGCAAAATGGTTTTGGGGGCGGGGGGAGGTGGGGGGGCTTATTTCATTGGGAATGCAGATGATTCTCACTCAGCTTTGTGGGGCTGTTTATCTGTAGTCCTCCAGACCCTCTTCAATCTGGGCGGGAGGCAGCCTGGGTCAGAATTAATTAGTGATTTGAGGAATGACATCATAAATAACAGCATGAGGAATGGCACGCTGACCCCCCCCCTCCCCCATACACGTTAGGTGCCGTGCAGCCTGGAGTATTGGGACGAGCTGCAGCGGGCCTTCGTGCCGTACCGTGACTTCAGCCTGTCGGAGAGTGCTGTCTGCGAGCTTCCCCTGCCTAGCGTCTGCCCCGGCGACGACCAGAGGGACCTGGTGGCCTCAGACCTCTGGAGGATCATCCTGAACAGCACGGCGGACGGAGGGGACGGGCAGAGGTAGGTCTGTGGCCCCTTGTCGCCCCACCACTGCCGCCATCACCACAGAAACGTCCATCTGGCCAGAGAGGCCCGCGTGTGAGTCAGAAGTCACATGTTCTGGTGAGCACAAAGAGCCGTAGTGTGTCCCTCCCCCAGCACGCCCACCGCAGCGCGCACATCTGGGCGGCGGGATCGGGGAGTCGACCCGGGATCGGCAGCGATCCAAAGGCCCGGGTCCTGATGAGACTCCCTGGCCGCACCGAGCTCCCGATGCTCGTTCCCCACGTACCTTGAAAGCATGTCTGAGCTAGGGGGTGGGCAGTGCGCATCCTCAAACTGGGCCTTATACCCCCTTGGTCCCCCCCCCATGTGGTCGGGCCGCCCAGCCTTTCTTCTGCATGGGTTTAGCGGCTTCAGAGGATCGGAGGAATAAGAAAACACGGGGAGAAGAAAAACTCAATTCCAGTGAAGACCTTAAATGTACATGTGACTTTAATTACAATCATTCTGTAAACAGCACATTTCCTTTATGTTTAAATTCTTTGTCCTTTTTGATCAAAACCAATTCTGTGCCTTTACTCTTTGTTTCATCGCTCTTCAGTTTCTTAATAACCTTGAAAACCAACTGGAAGTAATGAAAACTGTCAAAGTCTGATGCTTATCTCTTAAGAAACATTTTTTTTGTTGCAAAAGCTTTCTAGTAAATTTTTATGGTGAATTATAGTAGCTACAAATTACGGGACAAATGTCTGTTTGGCTAAATTACAGTACCGTGTGTTTTGCTTTTATCTGTCCAGACTAGCAATTAAAGTCTGCGGCTGTTTTAATAGACAAACCTTATATCTGTTCTGAGTAGAGTGACCACTTACCGCAGACAACAAGTAACAAGTTGATTTTTACAGTCTGTCGATAACTGCAGGCACGTAAACCTGATGCCTGCGGCTGCCGTCGCAGAAGGACGTGTCTTGAAGCACGGAGGGTTGAAAATCACTTTTTGGTTAACGGGATTTTTACTAGTTTTTTTTAATTAAGTGGGATATTGTAAGTATGGAATCAGGAGTGCAGATGGGACTGAGCCACTGGCAGTCTTTTGACACTGGGACCTTGTCCCATCTCCCCCCAGCTCAGACAGCGAATCCGGCTCCCAGGCCCCCTGCGAACAGCTGGTGCCGCCTACCGCCCTGGCGGCCTGCACCCGCGTCGACTCCTGCTTCGCCCCCAGCTTCGTGCCCTCGGTGGGCGTGTCCGTTCAGCTGGCTCAGGTGGAGCTGCACCTGTGTCACCACTTGGATCAGCTGGGCACAGGTACCATCCGCCATTCTGCCCGTAGGTGGACCCCCGAGGAGGCCATCTTGCCGTCTGTCTATAGTATCCTCTGTGAACGCCTGTCCTCTCTGGCCCCAGCCCCTGCCCGGCACTTGCGGCCCTTCCTGCCAGACAGGAAGCTGCCGCAGGAGCAGGAGTACCTGGTGGGGGCGGCGAGGGAGCCGCGGGCGTACGCGCGGCAGTGGAGCACCGGCGGGCACCGCTCTCAGGAGCTCCACTTCTCGGCCGAGCTGGACTGCCGTCTGCTGGAGTACCGTAACCTGACCATGCGGAGCCTGGTGCAGCCCTTCGCCGTGCGCGGCCAGGCCGCCGCCTCCTCGCGCGGGGCCCGACCGAGGCAGCTCCTGCTGGAAGGCAGCGTCTTCGTGGAGCCCGTCTTCATCTCCGTCAGCCAGCACAGTGTCCACACGCTGGACATGGCCGTGCAGGCCTGGCAGCAGGTAAGTCTCACAGACACCCCGAGATGGGCGTCTCCGCCTCACAGCTAGTCACATGCTAAGCACTTTGGGGTCTAAACTGGTCCAGGATTGAGTTTCTGCTTCATTGGATTAGCTGAACTGTTTTAAGGGCATCTCATCTGTTTCTGCCTGAGACCAGCTTGGACGAGAACTGGCACATTGTTGACCTTCATCACTATGGTTTCTGGTGGGGAATCGACTACAGATTAATGGTTGCCGTTTTGGTAGCCCTGTCTGACTTTTTCGTCATGAAACAGCCAAGTAAACTTACAGATGAGACATTTTTTCAGAGACTCAAAGACATTTGAGTGAAATTTAGCATTAAATAAACACACTGTTTCCTGTCTCGATTGTCTGAAGCTTCTGGAAGCCTTTTGGATGCCTCCTCAGATGCTCTGTGTTTATAATCTTGTAGTACGGCCTGAATCCCGCGGGACGGATCCTCTCCCTGGGGCGGTGTCCCATCTTCCCGTCACACGCCGGCGTGCTAATTTACAGTTCTGTTTATTCCAGTCGCATCCAGTCTCGCCCTGTTGCTGGCGTCATGGATTCAGCCGGCCACGACTGCTCACCGTCGAGAGCACTCGCCGCCGCGCCTGGGGGGTGGGGAAAGGGGGGGCTGGTCCTCTCTACCAGCCCTTTTGGGAACGGCTGTTTGTCAGGCCGATTGGGAAATCTCTGTCTGTCTCCGCATATGTCCTCAGCTGTGACTGATCTGTCCAGTTGCGTCGAGTCCCCTGCCAGCATATGTCTGGGGATCTTATTCATGCATCTGATTTTGGTCAGGGGTCCCCCCCCCCCTTCTTTTGTGACATTTTTTCCAATATTTGTGGGGTGTCTTATAATGTAAACCTTATAACCAGGAAGGCAAAACATTCTTTTTCCATTCTTATCCTCCCTCCCTTTACAGGGAGTAAGTCTGATGCTTTCTATAGGCTGAATGCACCACTTTCACTATTGTTTTGTTATGGGATTGTGTGCAACCTGTGAACACGCCGTTCACTAGACCCCCACCGTCCGCCCCCCCCACCTTCTCATTGTCTCTCTCATCAAGTGAACCTTGTATACGCAATTAAACAGAACCACATGGTGGGGGTTGTGGGACTGATAGCATCGTGCAAATAGTTGATCTCATTTGGAACAGGGACGGGTGGTGTGTGTGTGCACGGGAGGGGGGGGGGGGGGTGGGATTGTTAACATGTACCGCAGAAGGATACACTTGTGTAATTGTTGCCGTAATTTTCGTGTTTCCTGGTGTCAAGGCTGCCGGCCTGCCACCCACTGTGCGACGTGGTAGTGTAGTCGGCACTGATCCGGCCCGTGTGGACCGATCTCGAGCCGCCGTTCCATCCGACACCAGGGTCAGTCCCGTGGTGCGGAGGCACCGAAAGGGTTTCAGTCTTCCAGAGGGGGCGTGCAGGGGGTAACTTCAAAGACAAGCACAGGAGTATTTATTCATGCCACTTTCTCACAGAACACAAAGCGTGTGAGGAGAGAGAACTGGCTTTTTCTGTTTTTTCTTTCTTTCTAAATTACCCTTCAGCGCTACATGGAGTTTCAGAACTTCCAGGCGATTTCTCGTGCAGTCGGAGATTTTTCCACTTCTTTCCACGGTTCTGGTATTTTGTCATGGGATTGTCATGGTGAGGCGCCCTCATAGTGACCGCGCTGCCCTATCACACGCGTGTGTCTGGTAGCCAATGCGGCACGCCTCCCCGTGACGTCACACTCCTCACGGTCGTTTCACATCCGACTCGTGGCATCTTGAGCATAGTATGATGTACGTCTGATACTTGGACTCCCTCTGAGATCCAGAATTTTCTCAGGCAGCGTTTTGATTTTAACAAGTTGAAACGTGAATATTATACAATATCTCAAATTTTATACATGTGCATGTAAAACTATCGATAGGCTAGAAGGCCGAGGCAGTTCAGCCTGCATATCGAGTAGCAGAGTGAATCCATTTTGAAAGAGGAGACAGGGGGCTTATGCTGGCATTTTAGAGATGACACAGGGTTCATAAATGGGGGACCCACACCTGTGTTGCACCATAAAAGTTAGTGGGATGAACCCCCCCCCCCCCGATGTAGGGCGCGGTCACTGCTTGGGGTGTCCACCAAGGCGGGGGCGGATGGCATTTTGATGATCAGCGAAAAGCTCGTGGACCAAGCCTGCGGTTCCTTGAGCCCTGGGGGCAATGGGGTGTGGTGGCCCTCTCTTCTGTGGGAAAGTTCACCAGGAACCCCCTGGATGCCTCGGGGGGAGGGGGGGGGCTGCGAGTGATTCACCATCACAGTGTTGTTGAGAAACCCAGAGCCCCTGAGCTCTGCCCACGCAGAGACTGGCTCTCCAAAGCCCCTGTTTCCATTAGCCCGGGAATAAGCTAAGCTGACACACGGGCAGATAGCAACAGTATGACCTGCGCTTTCCGGAACACTCTGCGCTTCCATTATAGGTGGCCAATCAACAGCCCTTTGAATCAAAATATTATTAAACTGTTATTAGCTTGCAGTTGCCTGCTTAACAGAGATTCTGATGGAATTTGGGAAAAATTACTTGTGCATAAAGAAGTATAATATGTATGCCATGATACAATCCAGCCAAATCCACCCAACGGCCAATTTACTAGGGACACCTGCTCCTGGAAACAGGGACTCACATGGCTGTAACTCACACTCCACGTTTTTGCTTCCTCCCAGAAGGGAGCAGAAATGTGGACTGTCTGGCAGGGAGCTTGGAGGGAGCAAAAAAAATGGACTGGCAGTGGGTCACAGAGGACCTGAGTGACTTTGAATATGCAAATGTGCTGTGATTGCTAACCTCAGAAGCAGCCAACATCACTAATGCCCCCCCTCCCCCCGCAGAACCAGGATACCAGCGCAGAGGAGCTGGTCCTCAGCCACTACGTGATCTGCAATGACACCCATGAGACTCTGCGCTTCGGCCAGGTGGACACCGACGAGAACGTACTGCTGGCCAGCCTGCACAGTCACCAGTACAGCTGGCGCTCCCACAGGTCACCGCAGGTACTACGCCTCTGGGGGCGGGGGGGGGGCTTGGTGGTTCTCATTAGAGCGTTGTCAGCCCCCGTCTCCCGGGCCCGTCAAGAGACTGAACAGCACCCCCCCACACACACACCTCACCCTGACAGCATTGTTAAGGAAGATTAATTGTGTTTAACCCTTTGTGGTTTTAGGGTGAGGTGGGGGGGGGGGCATGCTGGAGGGGTGTTCTGCATTCAGTTTGAGAGCACATGTTCCGTCCGTCACCCATTGATTCGTGTGGACCCGCCTGGGGAAATGCATGGCTCACATGTGTTGGGGGGGGGGGCGTTGTTATGCGTGATGTTCCAAGGTTCCCTCCATCGATCAGCACTGGGGGCCCCCCCCTCCTTCGCCGGTGTGTTGGCTGTCACTCCAGTCTGATACACGTCTTTAACACTCTCAGTGAGAGGGTGCGAGGCTCCAGCTTTGCGTGGTCGTGCCGTTTTTTTGTTTCATTACCGTCGTCTTAAGCCTGACAGTAATTTCCTTTTGATTCTGTAATGCACTTTGAGGGGGGGGGGGGAATGATAACGTGAAGGTTTCTGTTGTCTTAAAATATTACTGCTTGAGATATCGCACTCGAAGGCCTTTTAGGATGTCAGCACCACAGTTAATCCTGTATAGTTACACAAAATTAACAAATACACCTACATGTCTTAAACTCTGGGCTTGGTTTGATAATATCTCACAGTCTGGCTTATTAAATTATGGTGTTATGGCTGATTAGAGCACTCAGTTAATCCCGGAGCCTCGCCCAACCCCCCCCCCCCCCCCCCCCCCCCCCCCCAGCTGAGAGGTAAATGTTTTTTCCGCTGAGTCAGCTGCTCCTTGGGAGAGGGCTTTGGCCTGGCTGGGCTCGTATGACTCTACATTTGGGGAAACTAGAACAGCAGCCTCTCCTGGCCTCACCTCTCTGGCCTCGCTTCTCCTGGCCTCGCCTCTCATGGCCTCTTTACCCGTGGCCTGGTCTCTGTCAGAGCAGAGCTTCTCCAGTTCTGCTGCGGCATGCCTTCACACCCCACTAATTTAACAGTGATAGATCTACAGACACCCCCCGGCCCCCAACTCGCCTACCCTGTGGGTCCCACTTGTCAGAGTGATGTGTGCACTGGTGCAGGGGTGTGTCTCACATGACCTCCCTGCCAGAGACACCAGGGACCTGCGCCCCCCCCCCCAGCTTCACCCTCCACCCATCGTTTTGTTTATTTTTTTATGGTCTTGGAGTTTTTGAGTGGAGAATGTGGTCAAGATGGTTGAAATGTCTGGCCTCTCCGTACAGGATATGCAGAATGATGGAAATCCTTGTGGTTTGTGTGGCTGAGGAAGGGAGTACAGCGTTCTGCACTGGAAGAACATTAAGTGCCTTCAAGGAATATTCATAATGGGAATAAACTGTAATTTGCCTCAACAGCAGACATGTTTAGCAGCCGTGTTCTTCAGCCTTTGGAATGAGTGCGTCGGGAATGCAAGCCCGCGGCCCCTAGCTGGTGGTCTGAGCCCAGCATCCGCGCCAGACCTGGTCTACAGGTTGCCGGCAGCGGCGGAGGCAAGCTTGGGGTAGAGCTATTCCGAACAGAATACGAGAACGTTATGAGAACGTTATGAGAACACGCCTGTAAGTATCATGTCCAAAGTCATCTGCAGCAGCCTTTAAGGTTACATGCGACTTAATAATTATTGCTCTCCCAGCTTTTGTTTCTACAATAATAATAATAATAATAATGACACTTGAATGAAATTTTCTGTTCGCCTCCCCCATCTCACTGTCAGTGACACAGAGAGACATACGCAGATGACAGTAAGCTTGGCAGCGAAGGGCAGCTGCCTGTAGCAGCACCCGTGGAGCTGGGGGTTAAGAACCTTCTACTGGGGCCCACAGACATATGACTATTCTGCCGAACCCGGGCCTTGAACCAGCCACCTTCCGGTTACAGGCACACGCTGCACCCACAGAATATAGAATACACTGCAATGTGCTAAATTGTTTCAATGGTTTTAAAGAAGCAAACATTTAAGTTTTGTGAAAAGCCGCTTGTGAAATGGACTGACGGCCTGTTTGGGGGCAGATGCTGTAGTACCTGCCTTTGCTGCTGTGGCGAAGGCCCCTTGATTAGGTCATTGTGGTCTTTGTTAGCCCACCTGCCAGACAGCGCCAGCCGACCCGCTGTCCAGAATGACCCTGGTGGTCTCGCTTCTTGGCCCACATGCCAGCTGCCCACCTTCGCTAACGTGGCCTGTGTTCTCCTGGCGGTGCCTTTGCGAGCGCAACGCCCGGCCATTCGGGTTCAGTGGGGCTGCGGCACCTGACGGCAGTGATTTATCTGGGTCTCCCGCTCGCTCCTAATTCCTTTCATGGGGTGCAAACAGATATACGGCCCCTCGCAGGAGCCGATGCACAACTGCACCACCTAGGTTGCGATGCGCCCGGTGGGGTCCGGCGGAACGGTCACCCCTGAAAACCCGGCATGACAGAAAGGCTTCTGCTGCCTGCCGCCATTTGCATCTGCAAGTCGAAGCATTCTTTTAGCCAAGAAATCTTCCCCGAATTTCCGATGTCGCCCCTGTTTTTTTGCCAACTTTATTTGGTGTTTCTTCGTGTTCTGCATGCCTATCTGCTACAAGGCCTGTATTTTGATTGGTGGGATAATGCATGGCTGAGGGGTCGAAAATCAGACAGGCATGTGAAGATAAATCTTCTTATAATTTTGATTTTGGAGTCAAATTTATGTTTCAAGGTCTGTTTGTTTTTTCTCGTGGATTCCTTGACAAGCCAGCGGGTAAGTAATTAAGAAAATATACTGGTCTTTCCTGCTGTCCAGAGGCCTGCGTTTTCCTCCGGGTTCCACCGTGCATAATGAGTGATGGGGGACAATTTTCTCTGGCACCATTCTGCAGTCCTATCCTAGCTGGCCGGTAGCGACACCAGTTCTCTCCTGTTACCTTGTAAAAATAACAAATAATGAAGCCCTTGTCTATTTTTAAACGTCTCTCGCCATTATATTTCTGTTAACATGTCTTGTTTTATTGGAAGGCCCCCCTCCCCCGCAAGCTACACTGTTCACAGTAAATACTTCAACACCTGTTGGCCAGGCCAGTACAGTTCATTAAGCTCTGGATTCACGGAACGCTGGAGTCCGTAGGAGGGACTTGTGCCTGACCGGAGTAGTTGAGGGGGATTATCCCGAGGCAGGACCACAGCTTGCACCTGTGAAACCAGAAAAGACGTAAACTTCGGGCTTGCTTGCCGCAAGTCATCATAACCCTTTCGCTTCCTCCTTGTAATTCGTTCTGATGCGGCCGGCGTATGTGGTATCCAGGAGCGACCGTTGCATATTACCAAGGCTTATGGAATTCGTGCTAAGAGCAGGTCTTGGATGAGTGGAAATGACTCTGGGATTTCCAGGCATATGGTCAGGTCCCAGTCCCTGAGGGCTGCCGGTGACATGTTGTTGGACCAAATCGCTTCGCAGCCCCTTGCCTATTGGACGATGGCCTTTTCCTTCCTCCAAAGCCCTATTGCTGCTGTTCAGTTGATTACCCTAATAAGATTTTAGGGATATTTTTCAGAATATATAACCTCTTAAGTCTTAGGTAAGACTTGGTGGATGTGTGCGTGACGGCATTCATCGGGATTTGATTTTGTGATGCCAGCCGTTCCCTGGACCCTTTGAGAGACACAGACTTGTCTTTGATGAGTCTGACTCTGATGCCAGGCCAGAGTTGTGTTGCTGCAGGCTCAGTACTGTCCACCCTCGAGAGGCGTATTTGAAGTGGAGGTGGGGTCTGGGCGTCTTGTCTTTCGTTTGAGCCGGCCGAGCATGCCTCCATCGGGGGCTTAGGTGGGTGGGGGGGGAGCTCACCACGACTGCTTTTTTGCGGTTTCTGCCTTCCTCCGCCGTCTGCCTAGCCATCGACGTGGGACACGCATCGCTGGAGAAGGTCCGAACCCAGTATGTCTGGAACGTCTGTCAGCCTCGTGGAATTTTTTTGTTGGGAATAATTCCCCCCCACTACTGCCCCCTTTCTTGTTCCCATTGTTTGTCGCTCTCTACCTGCTCCCAGCTATAAACCACTGCATTAAATTGCAAATTGGTTCTTTGATGTCCCTTCCTCTCGTCGGCATGGTGATCCAAATAATAGACAAACCAGACAGCTATTTAAGCGTCGCCGTATCCCCTTGCATTGGCCTTGTAACCTTAGCCCTTAGCGTCGGCGCTAACGCTATGGCGTTTGCCCTTCCACTGCTCTCTCCCAGTTCGGAAGGACCTGTTATTTAACATCCTTTGTTCTCCTCCCGTCGGAAACCTGTTTTCTATTAAACACGCGCCGTTCTCTCGTTCCTCAGCCGCCGGACAACGGGCCTTTGTTTCTGCGTCGGAGCGCACCGCTCTGGACAACAATGCAAAGGAAATCGGTATGCTTCCAATTTACCCGTTCTAGCTAGAGACCCCAAGAATAATTGCGATGGTGCAGTGACCACGTTGGGTTAGTCTGGCATTCCACGGAGAATCTGAGAACGTTGATTCGGCCGTGGCGGTGGCCAGAAGCAGCCCGTCACATCTCTGAGAATGCCTGCAGTATGCAAAAACACATTTTTCTTCTTCGCTATTTTTTTTGGGTTACTATAGACTGGATACGCATGGTTGGGTTCAGCTGGGTGTTATATGGCAATGACTCATTAATGGGAGAGATGCAGGCAAGTTTTATGTCTGTCCACACGGCGCATGACGACACGCACTGTCCCAGTCGTGGGGGATAGGGGTCCGAATTTTACACGACTCAGTTCCAGGAGGTGGGGGGGGGGGGGGGGGCACTAGGGCCTTGGAACAAGCTCTTCATCCTCAATATCGCTGGCTGAACAGACATCTGTTTAACTGGGTAAAATAATAAGCATATTTCCATAAACGCACCAGCCAAGCAAAAAAAAAAAAACATTAATAATAAACAGAATAAACAGATTCCCTGAAGATCGTACAGAGTCTTTGCCCGTATTCCGACGCATCTGTTGTGTTTATGTTCAAAGCGCTGTCAATGCTCATAAACATTTGCTCCTTTGTTCGCATCCAGCCCCTGCTAGAAAATGGGTCGGGTGGTCATGGCGCTGATCCGGTGTGGGTCCAGGCGCCGTGACGCAATCGGGTCTGTGCAATTTCTGCACTTCAGCAGTGATGCTGTGCAGATCTTACGAGAGGGGATCCTTAAAACATTATCGAAGGGATGATGTGTTGTTTTTACCCAGGATGCTCGGCTAATCACAGCGGCAAGGCTTTTGTCAGTTAATTGACTCGTCAGATAATTAATAGCACTTCTGACAGCGAAGGAAAGCAGCTGTGCACCCAGTGCTTGTTCTCTGTTTGCTGTCTCGTGCTGCCACAGAGGTCAGCAACGATGAAGGGTTATTTTCGAAAGTACGCCATTGCAGATTAATTTGGTACGTTATCATCTTCATCGGGGTCGATTTCCAATGAAACCAGCCTGCGATTGTTTTTAATATGCTCAGAAAAAAAAATCTGTTTTCGCTTAAATTCCTGTAGCTCTTAATTTATATAGTAGTGTACATATGGTGTCTTTGTTATGTATATAATTCGATTAAATGGCAGCTGTGATTTCACGTTTCAGTGAGCCGTGCTCGGTGCTGGGCCAGGGTGACACACTTTATGTCCCCGGTAATTTCTCTGCAGGAGTCATGTGTTCCTGTTTAAGCTGCAGCTACACAACGCGGAGTTGTGGCTTATGAACTGCTTTCCTGTTGAGTTTGGTGTTTGGGTCGCGGAAGGTCACCATTAGAGGTAAAAATTAAAGCACCCACGATTTAACTCCAGAGCCAGTGCTAACCATAACTGCCAGTTTCTAATAATTCCCGACCAGATGCGTTCATTCCAGTGGAAACTGGAGCCCAGAAACATACTGGAACTCGGCTGCTAAACCAAGCCAACTGTAATCATGTTCTAAGCTCTCTAATCTTAGGGGAGGTAGAGCTATGGTAAAAAAATGTTTTGAAGTTTTTCTTCGCAATATACCCTTGGCAAATATTGATAACGAGATCGAAATCTGATTTCAGCGCAGATTTATGGCCGAACAGCACGAGGATGTCATGCGGTGGGAGTTGCAGCACAGGGATTTAACCATCGGAATAAAAATAGGGCCTTTCAGCTCCAGTGTTGTGCTTGAGGATAAAAAAGCATCAAACTCTTCTGATAAACATCTAACACCAAAAGCTGGGCCGCTCCGCACTCCTCGCTGGGTTGAGTTGTGGCCATTCATTGTAGTGTCATGTGACCCCTTCCCTCTGAGTGGTTAGTGAGGAATCTGAATTTTAGGGGGCCCAGGAAGTGCTCCCTTTTTCACGCCCCCCTCCCACCGCGCCAAAGTCAGCCTAACTAACCTTAGTGGCATACAGTGGAGCCAGAAAAGCTAACGATAGAACCGCCAGACGAAAACAACCGACCGGACTGAATCTGTTTGAGAAACGACGTATATAAAGCTGCTGCAGATGACAATGCTTGGACACCCCCGAGAACGCCGGCGGTAACCCACCGCAGGAACAACCAGCAAGTACGAAATACTGCCAAGTACGACCAAGATCTATGCAAGGCCCTTTCCTGTTAAATGAGGTCTTTTCTCCAACGAGGAGGATACGTTTCAGAACACGATCTATGGGCCGCAGTCAGTACATGTAGGGAAAGGTTCATAGAGCCTTTGCCACTTTGGTTTAGTCAGTCTGCATGAAGTCACGAAAAGCCCCCCTTACAGAGCACCTACAACGGCTTTTCAGGGCCTGCTGAATTCTACCAGAACAGCCGAAAACGCCCTACAGCACAAAGGCCACAGTTACAAAACTGAAGCCCTTTCTGGCGCATCACAAATATCGCCGTTCATCCAGCGAAAAATGGCAGCAGCCTGAGGATATCAGAAGCTCGGCCAAACTCTCCCAAAGCAATCCACACTGCCTCTTTTTGCTCAGCATCCTCTTTGACTCAAAGGGGGCAACTGGAGGGCCACCCTCTGCAGGAGAGGAGGAGCAGCACCCCCTGTAATGTTTACTGTGGAAAATGTCAAATGTTTTTCATTTTTATTACGGAGAACTCGCAGATGACACTTGCAGTTATGGGACTTTTTAAGTTTGGCTGAGCAAGATGCAAATTTAATAATAATTAAATATGTTGCAAAATCGAAATTAGCACTCTGGCAGCAGACTGAAGTATCCGGCTCTTAAGCTCTGAATAACCAGGCCGACACTGGAGCTGGAGTCGGACTGGGGTTGTGCACTCGCGTTTGTTCATCCGGACTTTTCCCGAAACCGCATGCGGGGACAGAAAGCGACCCACTGCGTTAATCTCTCTGTGTCGGCCACATGCGCGCAGTGGACGCGCCACAGAATCGGTGCATTGCAAGGCCCACGGCTCCATGGAACAGACCGGCGGGGACAGGTCCTATCCGCTCAGACATGGGGGACCAGGGACTGTTCTCACACTGCCTTCTATTTCTGTAAAAGCCCCCCACCCCACCCCAAATATATGCCCGGTGCCTAGCTGTCACGGTTTTGCCTCTTCTGGCAGGCCGGTGACTTAAACAGCCTGTTTGAAGTGAGAAGAGAATCTTTATCGTAGATTCTTCCTGAAGGCTGGCTTTGGGGGTGGGTGGGGGGGAGGCTTCGCAGATGAGTCTGAGGTGTGCTGGGTCCCTGTGCTGTTTGGATGACTCTGCCACTTCCCGGTGAGTAATATCAACCGGCGATCTGAGAAATTATGTCATTTCCACTTAGAAAACACAGTGAAGAGGATGATCTCTAAAATTGAATTCAGGCTTTGATTAGTCGTGTTATTGTAATGGAATATGTCTTCAAAAAGCTGGGAAACATGAGTTAGGAGGGAACTGAGCCCCTGACCGTGCTCCGCTCAGGCACTGACCTCCGGAGCAGTTTTTTTCTTTCTTCTTCAGCAGATGGGATAAACGTTCAACATCTTGTAATAACTTCAATATTTCAGCCCTGCTTTGCATTTTTGTCAGTTATTCTCTGGTTTGTTTTCTGAAAAGCTCCGGTCAGTTGAAGACCAGAGGTCACCAAGCTCAGTGGGGAGGTTTGGTTTTACCTGCTGTTTGCCGTCACCGGAGAAGGGCCCCGTCGTGTGCCCCCGCCCCCCCCCCTCCCCCCCCTGCTTGGGTACTGGCCATGCTTTCCCCTGCTTCAGAGCTTCAGAGCACAACCAACCTTACAATTTCTTGGTTGTCCTCCAAATTCACAGAACAATGCTCCCCACAGATAGATACATAGATCCTTTTGTTTTTTTCCTCCCCCAATAATAATCTAGACCTTATTAGAACCCAGACACATGTGCCTCGAATATGCTTCCAAATATTCCGAGTTTTCCCGGTGAGCTGTAGTGTGCGACCCGCTCTGCGATTGCTTCAGTCCCTCAGCCTTTTCAGACCATCGGTAAACAGGAACCTTTTCTCTGACAAATGATCTTTAAACAAAGCCTCTTTTTGTTTACTTGCCATCTGAACAGGCATAAATAAGGGCATCAAAAGCTAAAACTTCTGTGTGTGTCTTTCTGTGTGTGTTCCCCCTCAGCTGCTGCACATCTGCATTGAGGGCTGGGGGAACTGGCGCTGGTCCGAACCATTCAGTGTGGACAACGTTGGGATGCTGCTGCGCACCATCCAGTACAAAGGCAGGACCGCGTCGCTGATCATCAAGGTGCAGCAGCTCAACGGAGTGCAGAAGCAGGTATGCCTTTGTGGCTAGTACAGGAGGAGGCGCACTCTAAGGTTAGTACTGGAGGAGGTGCGCTCTATGGTTAGTACTGGAGGAGGTGCGCTCAAAGGTTAGTACTGGATGAGGTGCACTCTATGGTTAGTACTGGAGGAGGCGCACTCTAAGGTTAGTACAGGAGGAGGTGCGCTCAAAGGTTAGTACAGGAGGAGGTGCATTCTATGGTTAGTACTGGAGGAGGCGCACTCTGTGATTAGTACAGTATGGTGTACACTCTATGATTACTACAGGAGGAGGTGCACTCGAAGGTGCACTCTAAATTTATTACAGGAGGAGGTACACACTGCAGTTAGAAGGTATGCACCACAGGTTTCACTGTTTTCATGTTCCTGTAGCAGATGCTCATTCACTCAGCTGGGCTTTGCCACCACCTGCTCACTAGGGACAGATTGACCCCTAATATGCCAGTCTCCTCCCTGTGGTCAGAAGTCATGTGACCTCCGCTCACCTATCTGCAAACTTGCCCTCGGCCTGCTTTGTTTTTTGAAGCACAGCGAGGCGAGGCCTCAGCCGGCTGCCCCTCCCTCGGGGTGTTAACTGAGGAATAAATTTGTAAGTCATGCTTAAACAGCTGGAGACACACGAGGAGCTCGAAAACAACAGTGGAAGCGGACAGGAAGCTGGTGCTTTGTTATGTAAATATTGTCAAGTGCCGTGCACATCTCTGTAGCCCCCAGACAAAACAGGCTGCTTCACCCGCCCCCCGCCCCCCGCCTGTGCATCTTGTTCTCATTGGTACGAGTGACACGGTTCAGTCCAGGTTCCGTTTAAAATGCATGAGTGCTGCGGCGCTTGCGTAACGCCTTGACTGACCTCTTTGCATTTGATGTGTTGCGGCTCTGCTGAGGTCATGCTGCGGGGTCTCTAGCTCAGTGGACCCACAGTGGTGTCCTTAGTAACGACGCTCTCAAGCACATGTAACGTATGCAGTTGCCATGGGCCTAATATATGTAGTGCAGCAATTACGGACGTGCCTCAGATCCAACAAAGAGGATGTGCCGTTGTACTCTTGTTCTACCAGAATTCCATCCATTAATTTTCCTTAACTTCTTGCCCAGTATAGGGTCACTGTGCGCCTGGGTCCTGTCTCAGGTAGCACAGGGCACTAGGACCCATGGACAAGTTGCCAGTCTTTCATAGGACAGTCTATCACCACTCCACACCATGCAATTCAGCGATACCAGTGCACCCAACTGCATATTTTTGAATTGCACTAAGAAACCAGAGTGCCCAGAGAAAAATGTCAATGCATCTGAGAAGCGTGCGTGCAGGGGGGCGGCAGCCCCGCAAGGGCTGGGCGGCATGACGGCTGGATCGATGAGGCCGACGGGCGGAGACGCTTTCCCTAATCTCGTCCGAGCCCCCCCCCCCGGAGTCATTAGCCGCTCACCAACTCTCAGGCTGCCTGCTCCAGATTTTGCATCCCAGGCGACTGCTAGGGGGCTGGAAAAATGTGCTCCGGTGCCAGAGGACAGGCTTGGGTCTCCAGTGATAGACAGTGACCCAAAGGAAATACCAGTTGTCGAGAAATGCTGTCAGGACCCATTTAGAGCGGTTTAAGTAATGCCTGACACGTTTGGTAATTTATTATTTTTCTGTTTCTTTTCTCGAAGGCACTGTTGCTCATTACACAATAGACTGAATTCCCCCACGCTCCACATCTCTACTTTGGGATTTTGTGTCTTATCTGTCTACGCTTCATCTCCCCCGCCCCCCCCCAACCAGATCGTGATCTGCGGCCGGCAGGTTATGTGCAGCTACCTGTGTCAGGACATCGACCTGCGGGTGGTGCAGCACTACGTTGGCCCCGACGGGCAGACAGTGGTGCGGGAGCATGTGGATTGCCTGGAGGCCGGCCGCAAGCTGCCCTCGTACGTGCTGGAGGATGCAGAGATGACCGAGCTGTGCGTGCGGGCGCGCGGGGACGAGGACTGGTCCCGGGACGTCCGGCTGGAGCGCCAGGAGCCGGGGGGCAGCTCTGTGGTGCAGGTGAGGCCGCTGACATGCGTGTTTGCATGTGCACGTCCCCAGAACGTGCCTATTAAACAGCTTTCAAATGTCCTTCGAGATGGAATGATGCTGAGAGAGTACAAATTAAAAGCAGGATTTGAAAAATGCCTTTATGGCTGCTGTTGAATATGGCGGCCCCATTCGTGCAGTGGGCTTCTGCAGTGGGGATTTTCAGCCGGGGGCCCACGTCCCCCTAGGGGCTATGAGGCAGGGGCTCCATAGAGATGTTTTGTACATTAATGAAATGCTGGTATTATCGAGCGTTTCACGCAACGTGAAAAACACTACAGGGGCTGTTTTTGTGGTTCAGGGTCCATTATTTTCAAGGGAGATCAACCCTCCTGCCTGTCCTTAGTTGACATTTGTAGTAGGGGGTCACTAATATTGGTTTCTCTTTATTTGAGGGGGTCGTTGGTTAAAAGGAAGCTGAAATGCCCTGTTCTGAAGTTTTAGTGTTTGAACGCTTCTCAGTTCCCCTTCTGTTTCTTCCTCACCAACTTTTCTGACATCAAGGTCTGAACATCTTTACACTCTCTGCGTCTCTGTCCGGCATTACTTATCTTGGCCACCAGATGGCGTCACAGACATGCCGGTGTTTGGCCTGTAACACCTATAAGAGCCAGTGGGGACAAGTGTTGCGCTCAGCACAGCGCTCATAGCCAATCGGACACCTTCTGGCTGCATGACTTGCGGGATGATGTCCGAATGAAATCCTCGTTTTAAAACCCTGCATTACAGTCACTAATAAACCAAGCGTGTCCAAACAGGCTGAGACGTCCTGGCCTGCTCCCCCAGGAGGAAAATGGTGCCCCCTTTACCCCTGACGATAGGGAGCGGCTGGGCGTGCTGTCATGTTTTAACCAGCCGGGCCGGTTCTTCTCGCAGGTTCCCTGCTCCAGTGGCTCTTTGCTGTACGTGTGGTGCACCCTCATCACAGTCGAACCCAACTCCCACATGCAGCAGAGGATGGTGAGTGAATTGCCTTCACGCCATGCTGGGGAAGGGGTCCTGGAAGGGTCCGCCCTCCCTGAAGCCTGTCTGCTGTTGTGTTGTTGTTGTCCCACCTCTCGCACGACACCCAGCTCATTGTGAGTAATGAGACCGCTTGTGTTGCCCATTTCCTCTGGGCGTGAAAATGTGTCCATGTGGACGTGTTACATTCCCGCCACGGTCTCCTGACGGCCCGTAGGGGAGGAACAGTATTGGCACGGTTTCCGTGCGGTAAACCCAGTCAGACAGTAATGTTGGGTCCCAGTGCTTGTGGTGGAGCTCCAGAACGGAGTAAGCGGTCTCTCATCACCGCCAAGGATCCCAGGGAGGCCCCCAGGGGCTGCGTCTGCCGTCCCGCCGCAGAGCACCGAGCATATGTGTGTTCGCATGTCCATGTAACCCCAAATGACATCACTGGGAAACAGCTGCCAGATGCTCCCTGTGTTATCAGCACACTCCATAAGGCTGAGTTTGCATCTTGTTCATAGCACCCATTTGGCCCCGAAAGACCACCTGACCTTAAACCGGCTTAAACAAGGGCTGATTGTATTTAATAGGGTGGGGCTGATGCGTTCGCTAATCAAACTGAGCTAGTTAAGTAGCAGATTGAACGTGATTCATCATGCCGATTTGACCCGTGTGTTTGCGGAATGCCCCATGCATGACCGCCACCTGGAACTCCCCCCTCGCAGGTGATCTTTAGCCCGCTCTTCATCATGAGGAGTCAACTGCCAGATCCCATCATCATCCATATAGAGAAGAGGAGCCTGGGTCTGCGGGAAAGCCAGCTGGTCCCTGGGCAGGGCCAGGAGGAACCCCTGCTTAACGTGGAATCGGACCTCACCCACCATCTCACCTTCCAGGCCAGGTAACGGTGTCTGCTGACTGGTGACCATAAGGCTGCAGGTCTGGGTCACACTTCAGGCAGTGTTGTTGTGCTACTTTAGCACTTAGCTAGAAGCGTTTGGCTTGGTGCTCAGCTCTTTAAAAGAAGGAACTGTGTGAGTTGTTTCCTGTTAGGAATGTCTCCTAATCTAAGCACATTAATTCTGATAATAAATGAAAATGTATACTACTCTTTTAAAGATTATGCATTAAGAGAACGTAAGTTCAATCTCCTAGTTCTGTCCATTGCCGGTGTTGTGTTGAAAACAATCTCCATCTGCACTTAAATGGTCAATACCCATAAGGCAGTTTGTGGCCTCATTCGTTTCCAACCAGGAGGGCTTTTATGTCAACGCCCTCGCTGAGATGGCGGGAGGCAAGCCATCAAGTGCTGGGAAGTAAACACACAGCTTGCCGGCTCCTCGCCAGAAGTTTGTTTCCCGTTTAGGTTTAATTGCACCTTGTTTTGATAAAATGCTTACAGAGACTCATCCTTCTTGGTTTTTTTCCTGTTCTAATGTTTGTCAGTCTGTGTGGCTCCTCGACGGGCTCTCGAGAGGTGCTTTGTGAGTCTTTGCGTGCCAGCGAGTCCTTACAAGCCATTGCCATATGACACATGGCACTCGGTCCCAGCCCCACTGTAGACACGGTGCTCAGCCTGCTTTGTGCATCGGCGTGTTGAGAGATCGAGTCCCTTTGAGGCAAACAAAAACAATGGTCTAGTCTTGTTTTATTTATCTTTATATTTCTGTGACCGCAGTCTACTGTGTGCTCGCGACGCCCCCCCCCCCGCCCCCCCGGCTGTCTGTATTGTATACCCCCTTTATTCAATCAGCCCCCCTGACCAGTATGAAATGAAATGTTCGCTGGTTGGCGGCTTGTCTCTTCCTTCCTGCAATTGCAGATAGTTGTGGCTTCTAATGGGGGGGGGGATAACACTGTGAAGTTGTGGTTGGGGGCTGCAGACGGGCAGACAGGCAAACCGGAGACTCCAGACCTGCTTCCGTGTATCTGCACGGGGGCGACGAGACCGCATGCGGGCCGGAGACAGCAGCCTGCGAGAGTCCTGTCAGGACCGTGGGGGGGCGGGGGTGAAAGCGTCCAGTATTCGCGTGTCCCCCCCCCCCCCCGAGCGTGGGTCACCTTCTGTTCTCTGCACAATGGGCTTTATTAACATGCATGCTGAGGTTTTTCCCTTTTTCCCGCTGCACCGGTTCCCCGGATGTGACCACATAACGTTTGCCAGATGTCCCAATGGACCAGCTGTGCGTCGGTGTCCTTCACCTGCCATGATGATCGGTTAACTGGAGGCTTGAGATTCTCCCAGTCACGCTCAGTGGTTCAGCTGGGCTTACTGGTATGATGTGTGTCCTCTGCCTGGTGCATGATGCCTTGAGTATCCTGTGATGTCATCGCTGCAGGGAGGAAGAGGACGTCTCTCAGTGTGCCGTGCCCATCTCTACCGCTCTTATCAAGCAGATCGTCAACAAGGCGCCAGCGGGAGAGAGCCACGAGCACATCCTGTGCGATTTCTACGGGGCGGGCGACTCTGCCCTGCCACCGTGGCCGTACGTGAGGAAGGACGTGGACAGGTACTGGCGCCTCCCGACCCTCAGTCCCGCATGCCATCCAGCCGCTCCTTGTGCTCGATTCTAACCAATCACAGCCCTCTCTGTTTCATTCCACCGCGACTTCCAAACGCTTCCGCCCAGTCAGTGGAATATGCCCTTTTACTCCAGCTGACTGGCAAGGGGTCACATAATCCCCTCTTTCACTGACAATGTTGTTGAGGCATCAGTGTGTCCAGATGCATCTTGCAGGCCAGTCAAGAGGAACGGATAGAAACAACCTGAATTGTCATTGAATTGGAATGAATATCTACACAGGATCAACAAATGCCCCCCCACTCCTAAATATGCTTTATCAATAGACACAAACACAATGCCAATTCTTTCATCTTTCCATCAAGGTCGAGCCATGTGTGTTCAAAACGGTGCAGAAATGCCCATGGCCCCATCCCTTCAGAAAAGTCAGCATCTCTCTCAGCCCCCCCCCCCACCCCAATCTGGCTGTTTTAATCAGAGAGTAAAGGGCTGTTTTCGCTTGTCCAACAACATTAATCATATCATTGCCAAGCCAGAGGAAAATTTCATCTTTGAGATGAGAAGCTGCGACAGCGTTGCAGGGGATTTTTATACGCAGAGCTGGACAAAATGCGAAATTGGAGCGCAAGTCTGACATGTGCGGCATGACAGAGAGATCCCTCGCAGATTAGCACAGATCCCCACTGCAGCCTTCCTCCCGGCCGCAGACTGAGAGCTGGCCGTCTCCCTCAACCTGTCCGATGTCGTCCTCCTTCTCACGCGAGGACGGGGGGCCCTGGCCTTCAGCTGGGGCTCTGCACAGCTGTTTGCCGTAAGACACAAACACACACACACACACACACACACAAGCATGTGGGTGTCTGTGGCTGTATGTGTCTCTTGCTATGAGATGCTGGGAGTGAATCTTTAAGTTATTTCTTTATATTTTGAAACATCTTGATCACACACACACACCAGCTCACGCACACCCACGTGGTCCCTCCCCCAACCATTTTCACAAAGAGCCCCCCACCGCATGTTCGCCATATGAAGCTGTGCAGTCCTGCCGTTAGGCTCCTCTGATGCACCCTAACCCCCCCCGGTGCTGGCATCTGGCAGTTTGAGATTGAGTTTCCCTGTCGTTCCTGACTTTCCTGCTCTGTGATGCAGGCCGCATTTCCCATGTTCGCGGAGGCCTGCCTTCGGCTTCGGAGGCCCATCACTGCCAGCGGCCTGTACCGGCTGAGGGTTATTAGTGCTGATCGCTGCCTCCAGGCTCGGCCAGATCGCAAATGGGGGAGCCTCTTTGCCATTAAATTAGTATATATTTTTCTTACAGATCACATTTAATGTAGTTTATGTTGTTTTGACAGGGGTTAATGTGCTCTCCAAGCCACGTACTTGGCCTGGGGAGACTAAACATTGTGTCTTGGGGGGGGGGGTGAGAGGCACAAGAATGTGAGGCGGTAAATGTTATTTTTCTCTCTCTGCTGGGCTCTAATATGAGAAAAACACCTCCGTAATCGTTAGGGAAACAGTTTGTAGTGCAGCAGGTTAAACGGCTGTTAGAATTCACACTCCGTGCCGCTGAACTTTTCTGGAGTCGCTGGGTCAGATGGATTCATTTCTCTGAGCGGCTGGGATCCGTATCCCGTTTCCATTTTCCATTCTCTTTGGCAGAGATAACCTGGGAAGATTTGGCAGACTAATTAAACTGCCACAGAAACAGAGTGACTTAACTTTTCTATGTTTGCTTCTTATGGTTTCGGGTCCAGGATGGTTTCAGTACTGGGAGGAGGTAGTGGTGACGACTGCCATTGTTTCTTTTTGTGTTTACGCCGTTTCTGCGCCGCTGCAGGCCTTCTCCGGAGCCGCTGGCCCAGTGGGACAGCCCCATGCAGGTGAAGCTGTCCGCCTGGAAGCCAGGTCTCAACACCCTGCTCGTGGAGCTGCTGCCCTGGGCCCTGCTGGCCAATCGCTCCCACTGGGACCTCTGGCTCTTCGAGGGCGAGAAGATCGTGGTGCAGATCCCGGCCGGGAAGGTCATCGTGCCACCCAACTTCAAGGTCGGTGAACTGAGGAGGCCCCGCCCAGAGGTCAAAAGTCATGGCTTGGCAGCAAGCCCCTGGCTGCATTTATGAACCTGCCAGTGTTAGGTGACATAAGCGATGCCTCCAGTGTAAAACTTCAAAAATGACAGAAGCCAGGTCCCCCCCCAGGATATATTAGTCCTGGATGGGCCTTAAGTTAAACCCCTAGCCCAACCAGTACCCGAGACCTTGAGCCCAAACCGGATCCAACCCAAATAGTAATAGGAAATCTAAAACCTCAGCCTGACCTGGACCCAGAATTGTGTATACAGAGACATTTGTGAATTTTTGCTGTATTTCTTCCATTGTTAGTCTGATGCTTGCTAGTAAGCCGGTAGACAAGAGAGAATAGCAGATATAAAAAAAAAAATCATGCATAAAAACACTAACCCAGACCTTCAGGACATGTGGGTGTTTCTGTGCTGGTGCTCAGTTCCTGGGAAGCTCCCTGTGTGTCTGTTCTGCGTGTTTGAGTTCAGTGGGAGAGATCTGGTGTTCATTCACCCAGCATAGATGTTATCCAGCACTAGCAAGCAGGGCAGGAAAGTGAGCATGCAGGGGCTGCCTGCGTCAGCGCCCCCTCTCAGTCACAGATGTTAGTGCTGAATGAAGGCGCAGTGCGTCGGCAGGCAAAGTTAAAACAGACACAAACAGGGCACTGGAGATTTATTAAGTACTGTGAGAGAAGCAGCATCCAGGGGAGCAGGAGCCTCATTAAGAGTCTGTTGATCTTCTGCAGCCTGAGATCAAGGAGGTTTGGGCTTGGTGGCTGGCCCATGTTCCGGGGAACGGGATGCTGGGCCAGCGTGAGTCCCCTACCCGTTAAAAGGTCATTTGGTTGTGGTGTACAGGAGGCTTTCCAGATTGGCATCTACTGGGCTGACACCAACACGGTGCACAAGTCTGCCGCCCTCGAGCTGGTGCACGAGCTGACGTCCCCGCGTTGGAAGGAGGGCTCCGGAAGCGATGTGCTGGCCCTCGACGAGGAGGGCTTCGTGGAGACCCAGATCACGCTGGGTACCTTGCCGGGCCGACACAAGGTGAGCCGTCCCACCCCTGCAGCGGCAGATGGACACAAGTGCAATGCAGGCTGTTTACATGTATGACTTGAGTTGCAGGGCAAATATGAGAGGTGCTCACTTGGTGTGCCCGCCTGCAGGTGTGCCAGTTCTGTGTGTCGTCCATGGTGAGGCATGGCATCCAGATCCTGCAGGTGGAGGACCGGACCATCCTGGTGAACAACACACCCCACCTCCTCTATTACAGGCCCCTGCTGTCCCACGGGGCCCTGGGAGTCTCAGAGCAGGTGTGTGTGCGTGTGTGTGTGCGTGCGTGCGTGTGTGCGTGCGTGTGTGTGTGTGTGTGTGTGTGTGT